GCTCCGAGAGGTTACCAGTTTTACGTGAAGTGGCGTAATAATATGTGAAAAACGCGATATTCGCGATAAGTAGTCGCGAAATATATTTTTCATTAGTGTTTTTTTCATATCACTAGGGTGAAACTCCATTGTTTATGCGATATAGTTTCAGATCGATTTTTGGTATGCATCTCGGGAAATAACACATATTTCTTCACAACTACATAGAAGCCGATTTTTCGTTTCTGGAAAACACATAAATTCTCATAACTTTACCTTAGTAAAAAGTAGTCTACTTTCAGGTCGATAATAGCGGTGGATATTTCTCGCTACTTAGTAAGGATCTGCGAGAACAGTGGCAGAAATTGGGTGATTTGAGTGTCTCTAAAAGGAAGGCCCAAACTATTGTTGATGATGTTGTGGATGTACTTCTTTACATTGCTGATATATTCACCGTTGATAACCCCTATGTGAGTTGGGGAAATCAGTGTTGGAAGAATATATGTTTGCTATGATTTCATACGAGAAGTGGACCAATGAGTATCACCTCGAAGTTTCCTATCTTCGACCGATCCATGTGAATGCTTATGAGTAACTTGTTTTTCGCGTTGGTGATGTTATCGCTCTTTATGAGATTCCATTGTAAAATATTGAGAGTGTGTGTAGCCGTCGAATCAGCGTTTTGCTTGAATGCACTTAGCATGGGTTTACGATAGTACTAATGATTGTTTTTATTATGAAGAATATGTAGTGACTGTGATAATAGTGTGATGAGATAGAGTTCGAAAAAATGCTACGGGAATATGAGCTGGTGAATTTCAAATACTACTACTTGCAGTTGAGCGCATTTATGTGGGGAAAAATATGCACATGGTCAACCACATGTATAGCTGGTCGTAAGGAAATTTTGCGGAAATTTTTTGGGGAAACCCCCGTGGTTTTCGTACACTTCTACCACACTTGGTGAAGGAACTCCTAGGCTCAGCTAAGGAGAGCGAGTATATATTCCAAAGCTGATTGCCATCGTTTCAACTTGATCGCTTTGTCCTGTCAGATTAGCCCTCTGTTGGACCTTCTGAGCACCAAGCTATCGATGTATGCTTTGGAGCCTTTACTCTCACCGTCGTCTCGATCACCGCATGAGTATTGTAGCAAGGCTCTGGCTAAGTTCATAATACTTCAAATGGGACACTATGTTGACGTCGGTGTTATGTGTGAAAAAGTGAAGGAGTTTCGCAAGACTGTTTTCAATGGTATAAAGGAGGAGGAGGAATCCCTGTTGGTTTTGGACGCAGCGATGGTGCTTGATTACCCAGAGCTGTCACTAAATGTAAGCACGGCAAATACTATCCCAGAACGATTCGATCGGAGTTGTAATTTTTAGGTACCGCACCTTGCGGAAGTTTGCTTGGAATTGATCAAGGGAGGGTATGGCGCACAGTGGCATTTGATTACTATTCAAGTGCTGTTAGCTGTGTATAAGATGGTCGTTAGGGAAGAGCCCGGCTGTGTTGCTGATGAGGATATTTGGAAATGTTTTAGAAGTGTGGCTGAGGAAGCCCGAAGAGCTGTTTTTGATGGGCCCAGGGGTATGCTGTATAGAGAGACGATTGCTGCCGCTGTTGAGGAGATTGGGGAGAAAGAGTCGACAGAAAGTAGGTAGGAGCCGCTTTATTATTGTGATGGAAGTTTATACCGTAAATCGTGCACTGTCGATATAGCTTGGGGTTGTTGTCTACTGTGGTTTGCTCGAATTGCGGATTCTGATGTGAATTGGAACCGTCCAGCTAGGAGTTGATCTTGAGAGTGTTGGAATATATGTTGTCCGCCTTCCTTAGTTAAGTTCAGGAGTTTGAACTTAGCTGAGGATAGCGAACTTATATTCCTCCAAAACTGACTTCATGTGTCAGATGATAGTAGTAGTCTCGTATCGACGATAGCGAGTACACCTCCAGGGCGGCCGGCTCTCCTACCAGGGCCATGTCCCGTACAGTCACCAGGGAAGTATACTGTTGATTACATTTCCTTATTGAGGCGCGAGCTCCTACCAAGGGTCAGAGCGCCCCCACAGGAAGATGCTAGTCGTGAGTTGGCTGGCTTAACTGAAGGGAACACTATTGATCTGGGTAAGCTTGAAGCAGTAGGAAACTAGTCTGAGAGCTCACTACTTATCTCTGTCGCTGATGACCTCAATGGCATTTAGAGAATGGCATTTGAAAGCTCTGAGTTGCGATCGTCTATTGGTAGTAAGAAAATTTTTCCATGAGTTTTTTATGGTCACCCGAGAATGGGCGTTGAATTGTCAGCACTCTTTCTGGCATTGGTATTGTTTCTGCAACTCCGATCGAAGAAATTTCAGGTCAAACAGATAGGCTAAGTTGCTCCTACATTCCCTTGGGGTCGGACGTGACCATTCCGAGCCAGGCTCAGCTGAAGACCGCTGAGGCTCTGTACCTTATACTATGGGACGCCACTTTTGTGCTAGCGGCTCCTGAACGAACATGTCCTGGCTATGGTATCGTCCGGCTCGCGGCTCCTATGGCTACTACAGAAGCATCAATAGATAGGGAGAAACCCTGTAGGGATTGTTCAGTGGCGCGTGACGGAGTTGCTGTAAGTTTCAGGCCAATTGAAGGTGAAATTGGACCGTTCCTTCAACCTGGTGTTGGTGTTCTCTGATGAGAGTCGGTGTAGTGTAGCGTATAAGCATCTGGAGAGCCGACGAGAAGAATGCCTCGAGAAAGAATATAGACAACTTGTTGATCGTTTGCTATTGACTGACCATTGTGATGATGATGATAGGATTCGTGGAGTGTAGACAAGCTTGAGTTGTGTTGAGAGTATATCGTGTTATTTGGAACTTTTTGGACACCGTATGTCCCGAGTACAATCTCAGACGATCCCGGAATCGATTTTGAGGTTGCTCGTATTTAATGCGTCGACAAAAACAAGTGCAGTTGTGCGTGTGTGAGTTTCGAAAACCGGATTGATCAAACTATCACCGATGAATCCTCTTCCAGGAGGGATGAGTTCAGGAAAGTTCAATGCAGTTGTAGCACATTCAGTAACTGCCATCGGACGACTGAATATTCCTGATTATGATAGTCTTATAAACCACATGAGAGTGTATAACACGACACTGTTATAGTGCTCGAAAGTAGTCGTACAGCTTCAGCAAACAGTATCATCAATTTTACATGTTGTCATAGTCAATCACATAAATCTTTACCACAGAGCTTCCATCGGCCTTGTAGTGCTCGTTTAATGGTCGATTTGATGGAATGCCCTGGTCGTTCAAGGAGCACGAATTCAGTGGGGTTGTATAGCTTCTCCAGCGTCGTGATGAGAAAGGAAATGCGCTCCAATTCAACCGATGAAATCGATACGTAGGGGGTAGAATGCCGGGCATCAGATAAACAAGTCATCCTGAGGCGTTTAAGAGCTTCCAATTCACCACAGTGTTCTGGTGACCATCCGAAGAGTAGATAGGAATATGAGCCTTGAGCTTCCATCAGGGAAATATTTGCCTCGATAGAAAACACGACTCGCTGGTAATGGCAGCGAGTTTGGGAGGACCCTCAAAGACCCCAAGGAGTCCATCGTCATGAACTATAGCCCCTATTAAAAATCGTGTGCGCCACTGAGGAAGCGCAGGCACACAAGATGCGATGCTCATCACAAGTGCTTGCTATGCATGAGAAATACAGTGATAGATCACAAATTGTGATCTTTATTGTGCCCATCACTCTCAAGTGACTTTCACTATGAACTCAACCATGCTCGTTGTAAATATATAGACTTTCCGCAGCGACAATGGAAACCAATGCTCCAACACTATCAAAGGCTTCATCCTCACGTTCTCCACTACTACGCCAAGACATCTTCACGATCGGCGATAGTCGTACCTGCAATACGACGCTGCGTAAATCAGAGTCGTCACAGCCAGCCTACCTTCTCGCTGATCTGCCGCTAGCGAGTTCGTCGATGGGGCCAACGACTCGGCGAAATTGAGATGGTGCGATCGGCGATGGAATTCGTGATAGAAATCTATCGGGTTGTCCACGACCAACTTGTACTCCATGTCCGCCTTGTGTCTGAATAGAAGATATGTATAAAGTGATGGACTAAACTAATCGTGAAATTCATAAAAGAACCCAGTAGAAATTATGAGTAAAACCAACTTGATATTTTTCTAGTATAGAACATAAACTTGAGACCCACGTGAGACAGCAGTGCTAAACTACGCAATACAATAATATACAACTCACTTGATGCCCATGAAATTGTAGTTCCAAATTCCTCCTTCTGGTACTATCCAGAACCCCAAGAAACTGTCAGTCAACAGCATCTGGACCTGACCACCAAAGACAAGTCCCGACAAACCCGAATTGATACCCCTCCGTTACCTTCTCAGCGTGCGTCGGTAAGTAGCCTGTCGGGTTCGTTGTGGCCTGCTGAATCTGACTGATATTCTCCTTCGCCCACTTGTATCCAGGTGGTGTCAACCTGCCAGTGAGAAATCGAAATATCAATTTGAAGAAGCGTCTACCTATACGCCGTCAAAGAGCAGGACCCTGGCGTGAAGGCGCACGTCATCACCACACATGTGTCAACGGACCAAAGTCGACTCCCTGCACCTCCGGCAGACTTGTGATGATCAGTGTGGATCATCTTAGCTGTCATAACACAGTCGTATCTAAAATCGCAAAAAAAAATATATTCTACCATACCACGCCGTGAGAACATCCTACGGGCTCAGACTCTGCTCCTCATGAGGACATGTATGAAGCCACCCCAGAGGCTCCAAGTCGTTGAGATAGTCGTGATGAGGTAAAGCGTTAGGGAGAGTAACCGTCTGGTGATTTCCAACTTGGGGCACCTACCCAAAAAATCAGCTCATATTTTCCATCATAATTTTACTTACCATAACGAGACAACGGACCTCCTTTACGCTCGGGTTGTCAGCGGGGCTTACACCGTACATATAAGCAGCAACTTCAGTACGTAGATCAGCAATAGTGATGAACTGCTTGAGAACGTTCTTGGGGAGAACATAAGTATAGCCGGCCTCATTAACATCATCAGATGCCACATAGATATGGTTCGTCCTCAGTGCCAGCGAAGTGCTCGATATTGCTCTCACCCTCCACTCGGTTTTAGAAGCGAAAGTCGCTTGTTCGTACGGGGACTGTGTCGCAACATTCATCTCGTCACCATGTACGTTGGTCGTCCTTGTCATCACCGAGGTAACTTGAGTGCTTCCATCAGTACTTGCATTCAACTGCTGCCCTTGCCGCTCGATATCCTCAATTTGCTGTCGCTGTAAACTCACTGGGGCGATCTCCATACCGAGAATAATATCTCGTATCTCCGACTGCGTCAACGACATGACATTCACGTTATTGCGCTTGCCATAGTCCAACAGAATCATATCCTTCATGTCGTTCTCCACCTTAACCCACTGCTCGTCAGTGAGAGTCGGCCACACATGGTGACTTTGAGTTTGCACAGTTTTGTCGGGTCTCAGAATAACCTTAGCACGATCTGGATTTACATGTAGAGCCCTCAAAATGAGTATCTGAATATTAACACATCGTGAAACACTTCGCTCCGCTGTCCTCGATAAGCGTGAAATCAATGGATTTTGATACTCACGTAATGTGTTCAACATCCAGTAATTCTAGCTCTAGTTTAACCTGTTTTACGTGAAGTGGCGTAAAACTTGGTGAGCAACGCGATATTCGCGGTGATATGCAATAGTCGTAAAATATGTTTTTCACTAGTGTTTTTCATATCACTAGGGTGGTGAAACTATTCTAATACCGATACTCAGAGTGACAACATATGCACAAACCATCAGCTACATGTGTTGGTAGAAATACGGAAATTCTGAGAAAATTTTGGAAAATAATAATTGCTTTTTGTACACTTCTACCCAAAATAATATATAGATTTTCATAATGTAGTGAGGAAACTCACGAGCTCAGTTGAGAAAATCAAACACATATACCCACCGATGTTGCAATATATGTTCGCTCTTCTCAGCTAGGCCCAGAAGTTTCCTCACTAATACGAGTTTAGGTACAGAAACTACTGAGAATTCCCGTAAATGTCACCTACACATGTGCATATATTCCCCCACACGCACCAGTCTAGAGAAAGCCGTATAGCCTGAGCACGTCTTGAGCCAGTCGTCGTAGAGATTGAACAAGACCATGTCAGGTTTTGTAGCCTTCAAAATAAGATCACCAAATTTCTCGATCTTCATCAGCGCCTGGAATGGCAACTGCAGCTCTGATCCCTTGATAACGATGTTGGGGAAATCCAACAGATGCACCTCCAGAGGGTCTAGCATGCCCTTCCGAGTAACAATAATCTGTTTCGGCTGTTCCTCCACTGGAAGCGACCGAATCAGAGCCGCCACCTCCTCAGCAGTCTTCCACTTTGCCAACTGACTTAGTCGTTTCTGCCCAGCCCACACACTTGTGTGGATAATCTTCAAGAACAGCTGACCAGTTCGCGGGTTGAAAATGAAGATCGCACCATTCACGGGCTTCGTCGTGAGGTTCCCTTCAAAAGTCTTATGAATGGTGACACGATACACATTCGTGTCATCCACAAACCATATAATTTGCGAAGAGAACAGCTCAGTATAATTCTGAGAATTCAAATAGGGCTCAGTCGGTTCACTGCTGTACAGTTGAAGACCTTTTCGAATTCTCTCACGGAGAACATACAGCGCGGGGTTAGATTTCATGATCTTATTCATAGCCTTCTGGATCAACGGCTTTCCACCCGGAATCCAATTTCCAAAGCCAGAGTGCATAGAGTAAGCCAGATCAATAGCCAACAGACACCCAGTTGGGGACGGGTAGATGGACATATTATCAGTAGTATAATCCAAGAACTTAGCCCTTGCATATCTCTCGATATCATGAGAATCATAATCACCCCACCTCAGCTGAATATCTAACCAGTACTTAGTAGTCTTCGTCTGAGCATCAAAATTGTCTCTAGGCTCAGTCAGCAGTGATGGCTTCGACACGTTCCACTTGTAGCTGGCGAATAGGAGGACATCAGCACAAGAGGAGTTCATCTTATACGACTTCCTAGGGTGAATCGTCTCCTTTTGCACAGTGTCGATCTCGAGAGCATCCAACTCCTGATCGAAGACTTGGCACATGTCCATCACGATTGACTCGTGAATCTTCTGCCACAGATGCGCCCGGAAGATTTGAATCAGTGAGATCTTCAAAGTGGGGATTTTACCATGCATAAAGATACCAGTAAGATCCAACTGCACTTGGAAACCAACATACACATTAGCACGATTAATAGTAGGACTCCACCACAGCGTAAACCTTCTATTAGGGATCTGGTTCAACCCAGACTTCTGCGCATTCGTCAACTTTTTGAACCTCATAGATTCCTCGAACCCACTAGCCTTCTCCCAGAACAGACCCTCCCAGGTCGGGAAATATGTGCCCTTGAACAACGTGTGCTCCAAAATACCTTCGACACCTCCCAGCGCTTGAATCATATCAGTACGATAGTTATTCAAATTCCAAAGCTTGCCATCATGCCTCTGATGCGTCCACCAAAACGGATTGTTCCTGTTCACATGATACTGCTTAAACTCCATTCTCACTCTCCAACCCTTGTCGTAGGCTAACGTATGGCGCTCCTTCTGGAACAGAGTGTTGATCCTAGGAATGCCGCGATCCCACGCATCCTCCAAATCTTCCAGAGTAAGTCGACGATTCTGAGCTTGTGCCTCTTGTCTCTTCAGCGCATACTCAGCCCACACTCTCTGTGAATCCAAGAATTCACTTTCCCAGGACTGTATATAACGATATAGATTCGGAATAAGCTGATCCGAATCGTGAGACATACCAGCTCGGAAGTGAGTTATACCAGAATCAGTTTGACGACTAACTCTCAGATCACTTTGTGGGATCAAGATGTGCCCCATAGAGAGCATACCAAGCCCACCAAGCTCCTTAGGAGTGTAAAAGACCACCGGAGGGAATCTGCTAGGCATCTTGGAATTGAGGCCAATCTTGATACGAGTCTGGATCTTGTTCTCGCACTTCACAAGAAGATCCAGCAAGTTCTCAGTGTGGATAACCGCTTCACGATAATACGTCATCAACCCTGAAATGCACAATTTTACCATTTTTTCATCAGAATTTGCCACAGCACTTATTACCAATCAGACACGTATTCCACTTGTTGGCGATCTTCGTGAAAGTGACACTTCCAGAAGCCATCAATACTTGCCTCACTCGATTTTCGAATTTCTTCATCCCATCATCATCAACCCTCAGATATGCCGTAGCAGTCAACTCCTTATTCCTCTCGTTCTGCAACTTCCAACACGCCTCCCCATGCCCAGTTGAGCCGAGACCCCCCGCATCAACAGTCATCTGCTGTCGAATTTTCGGCAAAATTCTCACCTCGAAACCGCACATGTTGAAGAGTAGATTCGGATTATCCTTGGAGTAAACGCTGATGAATGACGTATCCCAATCCATGGTCGCTAGTGATCTCGGTAACCGATTCTGAATCTCCCAGAAGACCGCACGCCCAAGATTCACATCGTGCTTGATCCTCCTCATACGACAGTCTCTAGGCCAACACTTCTTGTTGTTGTAGCCGACAATATTCTCATTGTTAGGATCGGGGTTCTCAGTGAGGAAACGCTGAATGAGATCCTTAGCCTCCTCATCGGTGAAACGGAAGAGGATGTGAACCTGACGATGAACTCAGACACATCGAAAACATAATTATCAGAAAAGTGTTGGAAAAATATACGCTCACTTTTCTCAGCTGAGCTCAGGAGTTTCCTCGCCGCATATGAAACTATATATACAAATTCGAGTATAAATGTACAAAAATCAACAAAAATTTCCGAGAAATTTCCGCCGAATTTTAATTTTTCACCAACACACGTAGTTGACCATGTGCGCATCTTTCCACATTGTCCTACGCCCAGACTCCAACATGTTCCCAATCAACTTAGCCACATCAGTTACGACCACTATCATTATATCGTGCGTAAAAACGTCACAAGATCGGAAATTTTCGCGCATTTCCCAAAACGTCTTCAACACGAACGATAATTACCTGGTCAACGTATCGGCAATAGAGACGAATCGGATGCCTCTGTTCCGTTGCAAGATCCGTAAACTGCATAAACTCGTTTGGCATCCTCGGTGGACCAGCGATATCAGAAGCTCTCGTGAGGCCCAAGACCAGCAGATCCACAACCAGAGCATAGTACCTAATTTTGTGGCGCAGTGACGCTCAGGACAGCCTCCCTGGCTACTTACTGGAATATGAAACTTGAGAACTGCAATCCTCTGATTATACCGTAACCGTTGATATGATTCATATCTTTGAAGTTAATGTTGACGTTATTTTTACCACTCATGTAATCAGCAATGTTATGATCAACAATAAGACGTAACAGACGATTTAACAAAGTCAAATCGATCTTCTCCGCCAGCTTCGAATACTGTGTCGTAACCTGCGAGCCACCTCACCAGGAGTTGCGCGAGTTGTGGTATTACCATAACTAGGGTCTCATTATTAGATGTGTCCCAAACGTTGGTCATGTTGTTCACTCCACAACAGACCTTATACACCAGTAACGGTGGCGGTTCCGAATCAGATGGCTTCACCCAGTTCGGGAACAACATACGTTGATCCGCCTGACGGAATAAATTACCCACTTTTAATCGACCAACCCCAAGAGCTTACCTCCAGCCACAAGTACTGATCTAAATATGCGTCTGTGATTTTCTCCAGAGGATCTATGTCGTATATAGGCACCAGATACAAGTACTGATCGTTGAACTCAATGGAGACCTCCTTAAACGCCCTCATAGTCAGCAAATGCCTCTTGATACGCGATAAGGCTTCATGAGGATTATCGTACGCTTGCTCGATCAACGACAACTCCTCCCTGAAAAAGACAAAAAATATATACAATTTCGCGGCGCGCGACAACTCACCTCTGTGTTTGATTGAGCCTAGCCTTCGCAGCATAGTTCTCCTTGAGCCTCTCCAATGCCAAGATGAGCAGCTTAGTATCATGCTTGTAGTTTAACGGTGGGAAGGGGATAGGTGAGAACTTCCGAGACTCCAACCAATGCACCGTATTAGTGTAAATAGCAACACCGTCTTCACCACTAATATAGGGTCCATCTTTACGGTAAGCATGTTGCCTTTCTTGCTCATTCTTCAACCACAACCTCGTAAGTCTTCCCAAATTCTTCTTACATAGCGTCTTGTCCACAGTAGCACCTCTCTTAATACGCTCTCTATTATAGTACGTCGAGTTCGTCCACCAATCAGCTTTCGCCTTCACATATTTCAGTATCATATTCTCGATGGGTGCGGCCAGCCCAGGGACTTTCCACGGCACGTTAGCCTTCCAACACCGCCAAGCCTCTGAGAGATGTTGCAAAATCGTTCGCGCCTTATTCGCCTTAACGCTCTCCGGCATCATATCGAGTATGTCATGCATAACCGCCGCCCTCAACTCCAGATCAAAATGAGCCTCAACTCTCTGTTTAGTGACAGTCTTAGCAATACCCTTCGTAACGCGCCCCTCAAATTGCCTTGCGAGCAGATTAGATAACCACCTCTCCAGCAAAGGGACGATGCCTCTTAAGAAGAACAACCACACACGCCACATAGGCGCCCAGAAGCCACACCCAGGGCCCTTTCCGACAGCACCAGAGTTGAATCGATAATACACCAGATGTTTCAAATCTTTGCACATTCTCACCTGTCGCATAAGCCTATACTTATAGCGGTACATACCAGTTAGTTGCCCAACGTGTGAGAAGATATACTGCAGACCATCAGCCAGCTGGAAGCCATCGATATTCCCAAGCCGATACTGCACATTCGAATCCACCACCAGTTTGGTCAACCTCAAGATTTCTCTACATAAATGGAAAGCGTTACCAAATCTTGACTTCTTCCTCTCCTTCGTCGTAAGCGTTTTGATAGGCTTCAAATTGAAGTTGTAATCCAAATGCAAATACGACAAGTTCTTCCTTTGAATCAGCAGCGACAACATATTGTACCCCTGTCGACACACCTGCAGACCAACCTCTACCCAATCCAGCTGAGTACGGTTGAAGAACTTGAGCTTGTGGCATTCGGCAACCAAATTTCGCTTTTTCAGCGACTTCGGAGGACGATTATGTAACGAGTTCAGTACCCAGCACTTGAGTAGTTTCTGGTAGCTCACACGAACCTTCACCGGATACTCGGGGGGGCAGTGCTCCTTGAACCACTCTCCAACTAGGGGGATATCTTGAGCACGCCTAGTGCGACCAGAACGCTTATTAAACGGATGAGGAGCCCAGAGCAAATCGATACCGGATGAAGTGTCATCAGTAAACAAAGGAGTGGTACTCAGGAAGGGGTCCACGCCTTCAGGCATGAACACCTCCGAAACATCGTACCTATACAACGATGACGATGATCAAAAACCACTTCCCAAAAGATCAACTCACTCTCCTTCATTTTCATCTTCAGCATCATCTAGTATTTTATCATCATCACCCTCATCAGCCTTCTGCATCGGCAAAGGGTTGATAACAGCATCATATACGTACGGTGGCAGATCGGGATCGTCCTGCTTCACATAGCAACAATGGGGAGCGTGATACTTAGCAGCATAAACCGATCTAGGACGGGAGTTGTAGAGGTAGGGGAAGGCGATACGATATTCGGTCCTGAGCAAAAATACAATGCAATCCTATGGGGAGCACGTTTAGTATCAACTACCTGACTTGATTACGGATGATGATTTTATTGATATCGTTGAACTCATTCCAGTCCTCATCCTCCTCATACATATCCCGGTACAAGGGTTCGAACTTGGGACCTCCCGGTATCGCCATATTCAGCGCCTTGGCAGTCTTGAACGCCTACCATCATACCACAATAACTTCAAAACTCTTCCAACGAACACCAGGAAAAACTTCACCACAATAACATAAATTCGGCAAATTTTCCAAAATTTTCCGGAAAAAATTTCCACATTTTCCCCCATACCTAAAATCCCCCTCACCTCGAGATCAAATAGATAGAAGTAGTTTCTGTCCACCAAATCTGAGATCAGCTGCCCAGCCAGACGATACAGTACCGACATTTGCGCCAACGACAAACGCCACTTCTTATAAGAAGTACCGTTAACCTGATATAACAAGAAAACATGAAAAATGAAACCCAACTAAACTTTCCTTCCATCAGGATTCCAATGATCAAAATGCTTTACGCTGATCGATGTAGCGGAATACTCTACTACTACTACTACACTATACACTATACACCCTCTACTAAAATTCATATTTAAAAATGCTTCCACCACGGATCGAACCTGGGTGATCTGCATCCAAGTCCTCTCCCCACACCACTCGACTATTTCAACCACGCCTTTCTTTCCTCACCTGTCGTTGACTTGGTGGAGCCTCTCCATCGTCCGTGGGCATAAGAGGGTTCCTATCATAAAACCAGTCCAAGACCGGCTCGTCCTCATCTTCATCGAGTTGAAGCTGAACAGGCTCCGTCGGTTCCACGTCCATGATGTTATCAGCGTAATCCAGGATAGGCTCCTCATCGTCAAACGGAGGGAATCGCATCCTCTTGAAGTGACGACGATCTCGTTTTTCCCTTCGCATGGCCAACCACATAGTTCCCCACTGGGCCACATACACCGGCTCGATCACTCGAGGGACGTCAGCGACAAAGGAGATGGCACCAGTGTTGTGGTACACGACAGACACTTCACGAGCTTGCTCCCAGGGCATAGGCATATTCTCGAGGAGCTTGTACACAGCGTGAGGGACGTACCTAAGGTTCAACATGGTGACCGATTCCTCCCCTCCTTCCCTACTTCAGAGCTCCAAGGTAGACTCGCTTATCGTGACGGAATTTCTTCTGGCTCATGTTACCGTGGTCCTTGATGATCTTTCGGATCGTCTCCGGAGGCATGTCGGGTTTTTGCTCAGCACCCTGGGAAAATGAAGGGAAATGTGACCAGCAAAAAAATAGTAATTTTACCATAGGTCCACCAGCTTGAGCTCCACCAAATCTCCTCTTATCAGAATAACGTTTTTGATTCAAAGCTTGCCATTTCCTAGCCTTCTCGTCCATCACATCTTCACGACTCTTCCCCGCCGGCATAACCCCTTGCATGGGGACAGGGGCGCCAGGAGGGAGGCCCCCTGCCATCATAGGGGGAGGGGGAGGGGGCATGGGAAACCCTGAAGGGCAATTGGTGTGGTATGGAAATAGTAGTACTACTACTACTACTACCAGGAGGAGGGGGAGGCATCATCCCTGGTTGGAAGCCAGGAGGAGCAGGAGGAGGCATCATACCTGGCGGAGGCGGGGGAACAGGTGGAGGCTGTTTCCCGGGGTCCATAACAAGAACTCAAGTACTGATCAAATACGGCTTGTCACTTCCTTGGTGATCCCTCAACAGCTGCACGCATGCACATGATGACGTTCCGACCTAAAGATGCCCTGTCGGATATGAAACTTCAGTTAGATAAGTCCTACTTGAAAAAAATCCGAAATTTGCGAAAAATTACTAAAATTTATCCTTCCACCGGAAAAAAGTGAAAAAATTAATTCCAGCCACTCAGTCCGACTCGACTCCGACTCGATATCACACCAGACGTAGGAGCCCTCAGAAATATCAATAAATCATTGATTACAACAATTACCATTACTAAGAACAAATCCCAAGGGTAACGCAGACAATTTGTAGTTAGCGCACGCCCTGGTAATCGATTATGCGTTCATCGGCGCGGCCAGTGCCTTTTGGTATCTGTGAGCAAGGAACTATCAGTGTTGGAGGGCCCAGTGCACTGGGGTGGATCTATAAGGTACCGTCGCGCGCCACGAAACTAGCGTCGTCTATTCGGCCGCTTACTAGGCACTGCTCAGGAAATACCGAATAGCGAACCGCGAAACTTCCTCAGAAGTGGCAAATGCAATGCAGTTGGTAGGAAGGTCCGTATGTGGAGTATCTCTAGGTTGAAGTAGGGTCGACACAGAGTGCTATGATACGGTCCAGAGGTGAACCGTGAAACTAGTCAAGAAGGTCTTGACAAAGATGGCCGATTCTCGGATGAAGATCTTGTTCTACTCGTTGTTCTACTAGTGAGTATCTCTTGGACTCTTTTACACTGCCACACTATCGATTCCTAAGAGAGTCCGAAGAGTTACGGTACTATACTGGCTTTCATTAGTCCGGGTAAGAACTGCTGCTATTCTGAAGTTATCATCATAGTTACCGTCCTTCTTCCTCATTTTCACGCTACTTTCCCAATATCAACTCTTACTAGTCGGAAACCTATTTTTCAGGTAAGGCACTACTAGTACGATCTCGCCACTCCAGCAGGTTTGTCTCAATGACCCCCATAGTGTCCTCCCCTATCTAGAGAGGGGGGGGGGGGGGGTCTCTAGAGATAGTGGCATCATTCAGCTGACAAAAGGGGGATATCCTCTTCCACCTCAAGAGAAGTACAATTCCTATCGTCTAGATGTAAACCAATCTAAGAAGGAGTTGCCTTCCATCGTGTTCAATAGTCGTATTGTGTGCATGCGTGCAGCATCGACTGAATCACCATCCTAGTGAATGTTCACATCGCTAGTCTGGAACCAGTATGAACACCAGCGTAGGTCCTCGAGAGTTCTCTGTCTCGAACTAGTGCCATTGCAACTGATGAGGGAGGAGCGCTCGAAAACTCTTATTTCCATAGGCTCGTGTCAAGTGGTGTATCTTTGATTACCCTTGTGGTTGATATTAATTTTCAGGCGCGTGAGAAAATTCCTGGCTGAGAGTGCAGGTGGTTCCGGAAGATGAAAACGTGGGCTTTGGACCTGTCCTGAAGTAGTATAAAATGACCAACTTTTCCCGACTCGTTGTTGTCTGTTTTCAGGTTGCTGCGGAACACTGTGTGACGTTGTCTATATCGACATAGCCTCACCCAAGTACGATATTGATCTCAGCGATATACGTTAATGCTATCTCTCATTATCTGTCCTTACAGAAATTATCGAAGGCTCTCGAGTAGTAGCCCTAGGGTCGAGTCTATGCTTGTATCGGTTGCTTATTGGTATAAGAGTGAGATAAGAGTAAGCCTTTAGTAATGGTAACAAGAGGGATGAACATAGTCCTTGGAACTCCACGGAAGGGGCTCGATAGACCTAGGGGCGGCATGTCTTCATCCTACTGAGGTAATGTATCAGCTAGAAGCTATTCATCTCGACTATAGTCTCCTACGATCTTCTTGATATTCCTGAGGTCAGCCCATGCTACTACTGCACGTATGGTTTCCCGGTTGGTGTTCACCCTATTGTGTTCATTCTCTGCTGTACTGTCATCATCATCATCATCAGCTTCAACATTCCTTGATAATGTTCACCGGTATCAGCAAGAAGGCTGTTTGGGGAGTGGCTCGTCGGCCGCCAGTGAACATCGTCACTACGGCTCGCATCCATCCTAGACCTCCTACTATGCTAAATCAAGGGTAGGTTCTGGTCACTGTTTTTGGGTTTGTCAGCTCTCTGTGTGAACTGTTGTGGAAAATCAGTGTCGTTCGTGATGGTGTTAGTATCTATGTGGATTTTCATGCTGGATTTTCATGGACCTCTTTTGCATATTACTATTGCTAAGATATGCGTGTATACATACATTTTCTCGAAGTGGTATTTATTCGGACCTCTTCTGTATCTTACTATTGCTAAGATATGCGTGTATACATACATTTACTAGAAGTGGTATTTATTCGGACCTCTTTTGTATCTTACTATTGCTAAGATATGCGTGTATACATACATTTACTCGAAGTGGTACATATTCGGACCTCTTTTGTATCTTACTATTGCTAAGATATGCGTGTATACATATACTTACTCGAAGTGGTATATATTCGGGCCTATTCCGTATCTTACATTTATAAAGATATGCGTATATATACCCATCGTCGCTCGCATACATACTATAAGAATTACTAACATGAAAACGACTGCTTTGTCTGCTGATATCTATTTTGAATTTTTCTTGTTATGGCGTTTCGCTCCGCTCAAAGATCTTCCGTTTTTCAGGCGATTCCTTTCGAAGACCTTCTGCACTGCCTCTTCTAATTTGGGCGTTTCCAAGATCGCTGATCTCGATCCGTCGGCACCTAATTTTACCAATTCATTGCGAGAAGTAGGATATGCGTTATTCCCATACCACACCATGCGCGACTCTCAGGTGCTGAGCGAGGGGGAGCAGATATCAGCTCTTCCAGTAGCGGACCGACTTCAGCTCCTTACCGCGATCGTTCAGCATGGAAAATACGATGCATCTTCGCCTGAGCTGAAGCAGGTTCTTGACAGTGGGTTTGGGGGAATCTTAGGTTCAGCATGGTAAGATACAGATTAGGTACGATATCGGAAGCCCGTGAAGGTTTGATACAAAGTTCTGACGATCTCCTCCACCTTGCATGGGTCCTTTGCGGTCTCAAACAGAAGGAGGCTCTTCGAAGCCTTCTCCCGACGATGAAACGTGACCTCTTATATTTTGTCGCGCGCCACGAAATTATCATCATCCCCTTTTAGGTCACATCGAATCGCCAGAACTGATCGTCTATGTGGTGCACTACCTTCGAATGGCTGACGTCAAGGGGGATCTCGCCGTGCATGGTAAGCTGCTGTTCTTAGTTTACCACTTCTCCAAATTTTAAAATTCATGTTCATGAAAGCTGAGCTCAGGAGCTTTCTCACTCATTGTACAACTCGGGTAGAACTGCGGAGATATCTTCCAAAATTCAGACCCTAAAAGGGAGGCAATTATTTTAAAATTTTTGGGAGAAATTTTCGAAATTTGCTGAATATTTTTTCATTATCACCACCATATGCAGTTGACCATATTTGTCTCAGAGTTCCGAACGATCGAACCCCTCATCTCCATCGTCTCTGGCCGTTTGGATGAGCTCACTGATGCTGGTGTAAAGCTCCTCCTCGGCGAACTGGCTGCCTGCAACTACGCCAACAAGGCCGGCCGGGACTTTTTAGAGAAGTACCGCACCTCGTTGAAGTCGACTCATTTTCTATATACGCATCCTATTCCTGGCAGTGGGGAATACCGTCGTCTGGGCTCCTTATACGTATACGTAGAAACAATTATGACTTGCTCATGAAAAATTAGCAGTTTGTAGTGATTCCTGTACATGCGTTGGTAGATTTGATACTACTTGTTGGTTGTCACTGTACAGTGTATGTATTTTCGTGGAAACCTTATATTCTTTGCTTCCTCAGGGTTACCCCTACTCTTGCCGTTGGGCTGTCTCAGCGACTGAACGAGTTGGACTCGGCTACGGTCGCCACTCTGGGAGCCCTGGCAGCTGGTGCGCGACCGTTTAGTGACGAGGAAAAGGCCGCGGTCGAAGCTATCGCGTCCGCTGCTATGAACGCTGACCTCTCCGGTCTGCCTTTCTCTACCCTCCTTGGTTGTCTACGACTAAGTGAACTCACAGGCTGTTGCAAAGACCTCGCCCTTAAGTTCTACGATAGAGCTCTTGAACTGTCCAACGAGCTCAGCTATGATCAGACGGTCGCCTTAGCCCCGGAGGTGTGCGGAAAGGAGTGGCCTAAGGCTAGCCGAGAAGCTATGGTTCAGAGCTGTATCCGATCTCTGAAACGGGAACTCGTCGATGGTTTTGTCAACTTGGACGGTCGCTTGCCCGAGTTCGCCCTTCTCGCCGAGTTGCTTTGGATTTCCGGAAAGCGTGATCGTGTCACTCTGAAGAGGATTTCTGATAGAGTGTGTCGACCTGAGATCCGCGAGCAAGCAGTGGCTCAAGGTTTGGCGCCCTTTGACAATGCTGGTCACGCTGGTATTACTTCTATTATGAAGGCCTTCACTACACATGGCTTCTGGCACCCGGGCACGGTCGAGGTCATCAATGAGGTCCTCACCAAACCAGATTGCTGGAGTAGCCTGAGGGACAATCGCACCCAAATAGCTCATCAGACGGCGCTGTACGTGCTGGAGGAGAAGGAGAAAGACGGATCTTTGTGTAGGTACCTGCTGGGGACGCAGTACTATAATGAGGAGGTGATGAAGCCTATGGTCGACGATGTGACGAGAAGTGTGGCCGCATGCGGCTACTTTGGTGGTCAGGGCCGTTTCGTCTATTATGGCGCTATCACGTTCGTAAGAATATCTTGTGCGCGCAGCGCTAAGAATTATGAGTTTCATTGTCAGGCACTGGGCGAGCTCGGATATCGTCATGACGGTTTCGTCAATGCTGTTTATGACGCGGTTCGGGACTGCTTTGCTCGTGGTCAGTGGGATGGCTTCTTCAATGGCGATGGTCGCTTCGAGGAGCAACGTTTGCAAGGCATCATCCACACACTATATGGGCTCACTCTACTCGGGTATGTCATCGAGTGAGCGTTCAAGTTCAGCACTTCTCTTCTCAGAGAGCACACCCGCCCGGACTGGGACGTTGTCCTCAATGGCTTCTTCGGAATGGAGGGTCTCGAGAACTGGGTTTATGATCCGTCCACTTTCAAGTACCGACAAGTCGTCCTGATCTCGCAAACTGCTGATGAGGAAACGATGGGGAAACTGTCCCCTCAGGTGGGAGTGAGTATTTTTACGGTCCCTGGGATGTCTAGTCTCAGGCCAAGTCGACGATTGAGGCCATTCGGGCCAACTTCGGTAGCTTCGACAGGAACAGCGACCGAGAGGAGTCCCGAAGGTACGGCTCCATTCGTGGTCACTGATGTAACAGCAGGTTGTTCAGGTCACGAGAGGTTGCCGAGTTCGCCGACCGTGTGAAGAAAGTCTGCCCGAATATCATCTCGGCCACCGGGGTGGAGGTTGGCATGTACCGAGTGGATATGCGCTTTACTATTCCTCAAGTCACTGCCACAGAGCTCCTTGACGGTGAAGGTGAGTATCATCAACCGTACGTGGCGTTACGGTTGTTTGTTTTTAGAGGCCAAGGTGGATAGAGATTTGATCGTTGGTGTGCCGTATCGCTCTAAGTCGCAGCTTCTGAGGGATGCCAAGGGCGAGTTTAGATACTCTAAGGGATCCGCCAAGTCCGCTGAAGTCTTCCTGGGGTTCTTCATTCACATTTTTATCGCAGGTTCAGCGACATGTTAGTCTCTCGCAACTCTGGCTGGGATAGTGTCTACCCTGTGACCGAATTCGAGGCGGCTGAGATGGCCGGCAGTCATGATGACGATTTGCTCATGGGTTGGCTCCGCGATGTGGTAAAGAACGCGGCCTGGAAGAAGTCTCCGACCGAGACAGCGCCGGCGACAGGCGCCGCCGTGGGTACGTCGAGCGCTACTTTCGCAGTGACTTGATATCGCTGTTAATCAGGAGTATCGGATGAAGTCCACAAGACGGTTGGCCGAGTGACGGAGCGTGCTGCTCCGCTGCCGCCTTTACCTCCGAGGCGAGTCGTGACGCCTCCCCCACCCCCGCCTCCAAGACACTAATTGTAATCAACTCTTTATTTACTTAACAAAAACACCATAGATAATTGTTTCTGAAGAAGTGAGAATGATCGTTTCGGCGATAGTACGAAGGTGAAAGTTTTGTGTTCGCAGTCCCGAGCCTTGACATATCGACAGCGGATAAAAGCTCCGTGCATTCTCAATACTCTTCACCTCAAGCTGAAGCAACAAAAAAAAGCAGTGCTCATGCTGATACGCGTGTGCAAACGTTTTGGAGGTGAGCATTATTTAGTGCAAATTTCTTGCCACGAATTGCATCAAGCCAATCTAGAGAAAGAGAAAACTGATTGGAATCAGTGTCGATCTTGTTTTATGCAGGCGATGCCGTTGTGACTCATGTTATAAGCATCGTAGCCACTGCTCCTTAATGCAGTTACTGTGCTCGACAACAGGTGCTACTCTCTGTCTCCAATCTGAGCTAATATATCGTCATACTCTTCTATATACATTCTCGTACTAATTCCAACATAGTTTTTCGTGCTACACTACTCTACCGGCATTCGTCGTTAACTCTTTGTGGACGTAAGTGGTTGTAACGGTCAGACTGATGCTCAAGTTAGTCGGCATCCAACTAGTAGTAACTCAACATCCCAAGAGGCTTAATACGATACAGGGTTACTTAGGCAAATGTGTTTACGATAGTGAAATCTTCATGCCACACGGTGTGGCCCACACCTCTTGACGTACAAGAAGTATGTCAAGTGTGTAACTCATGTGTCACACATGTGTAACTCGTAACTGTCCAAGCACAAGGATATTACCGCAAAGACGAATACCCGTACTTGTACGGTCGAACATAGTCTAATTACACAACAATAGAGCATGGCTTAATCCGACCTCATTAGTTGTAGGCTAATCGAACGATTTCATCATCACCGAACACTGTTTTGAGGTTCATACTTTCACAGGGTAAGTTATCCTCAAAACTTGGTTCTAACTGTCTAGATATCGCGCATATGCCTTCACATGACAAAAGGGCACTATTGAGTATCGAACAATACCCTGATTTGACACGAGGCACGCTGTAGACGAGTGATCGTAGCAGGGGAGGCGCTTCCCTAGCAGCAAACCACCACCGCGATTAAGGTGCCCGACTGACGCGAGTTCCGATGTAGCCGATAGGCAATTCCCCAACAAAAATTCATCGACTGCTCAACTGTACTCAAACACAAGACATAACTCAGTTAAAGACTAACTAACGCCGCTCACCCATACACGCCAAAAATGACATTACTATTGAAGCATGATAGGAAGAAAAGATACTTGCCACAGATCTCAGGTTCGATCCCCAAGACCTCTATTTCTTAGCGACTGCTTGACCACCCGACGTTCCCAAGCCCATCATAGTCTTCCACGCATCGTAGATGTACCATTGGAGACCCGTGAGAGTACCAATCATAATGATACGTGTACCTGACCAAACCGCCACATTCATGCAGCGTATCCAAGGTTCGAGATAGAAAGATACAAAACAGCATCGGCAACCTACCCAATCCCTTCATGAAAAGATTCTTCAATCCTTGCTCCGATGCCATCTGACCGAAACTCTTCCCCTGGTTCTCAACCTTGCCTAACAACGACGACTACAAAAGGCCCTTCCCCGTACCGGATGCCCTACCCATCTGCGACACCAAATTATCGGCCGGTTGCGAGACGATTGCGCAGAAGACTCCCGCGATGTACCCAGAGGCGAAAGTGATGCCCAACTGCGTCCCCTTAGAGTAGGTATCCCTAGGGTTGGTGAACACGTGCCGGTAGAACTTCTCCACGCAGTATTCGAAACCAACAAACTTCGCCACAGTGTATCTGCCACCGCATTCATAACGACTGTACTGACGCCTCTCTTCATGACGAGTTGAAAGAAAGATGGTATAAATAATTCACCTTGCCACCAAGCAAGAAATACCCTACTTACGGTATTTGTCTCGACCACAGAGGCACAACGCTACCGAATGGGAATCTAGTCTCAGCCCTAGTGGCGTTCATCTGCGCCAAGGCCGCGCCAAAACTGGTTGGGAATGTTCCCGGTGGAGACGTCTGGACCTTCACTTTGATCATCTCCATCGGACACAAGGCGATGTCCGCGAAGAACTCCGCCGAAGCGCTAGCCCCCGCCCAAACAAATGCACGATACCTAATCCAGCACAGTCATGCACTTAAGGCAGATGCACAGTTAACGTACTTAATGGCGTTCTGCTCGCCAAGCATGTTAGAGTAGAGATCCTTGAAAACCTCATTCAGACCGAACTTGAACATACCCTGGAAGTGGTAGCCGATGCAGGTGGGCTCCCAACCTTTGATCAGCATCCTCGCGCCTAAACACGAAAAATACAATAAAAAAGTCGCTTCGCTCCGCTGAAATATCACAGCCTCTTACCCTCCTCAGAAGCGATAGTCCGAATACCCGAAATCAGACTACGATACTTGGACGGATTCACCTGACAAGTTGAAGAAAATATGGTATGACATTTGCACGCATGCACAAGACGCCTTTCTCCTCACCTGCATGTTGCACTTGACCACATCAAGAGGGGTGACAGCAGTGTGGGTGACACCACAGGCCAACGCCCCTCCAGCCAGGCACTTGGCGTAGTACGAGTTAGTATGGGGAATTGCGGGGTTTGTGTAACGGGCATCCCAACTCTTGGTGGACATCTCACGAAAAGGGAGAAAAATAAAGAGCTCAGCAGAAAACTCATGACCAACATCCAATACACAACTTCAGCAAAATAAAATTTAAAGTTGCACAAATTGTTCATTCAGTGGTATCACAAACGACGTGCCAAAAGCGCGCGCCCCAAAAAGATAGAGAGAAACCACCCTGTTGTTGAGAACAGCACTTCCCTTGCCCATGATTGATAAGCTCACAACAACAATGTTAGAATAGAAAACAGCAGCCGATGACGTCTTGGACAATCGTACACGGGAAATAGACTCATCTCAAACCAGGGACGCTGGACAGGAGTCGCTGTCGGAGCTCTGCAACTTCACGATACCTGATACCACACCATCGCCACTTCTCACCAACAACTCCCCTCACCTCGAGTGCAGCATCCTATTGCGTCTCTTCTCCTCAGCCACAGTATCCGTCAGCTTTTGGCGTCTACTAAGCGCCCCCGCCTCCTCAGTTATCTGCATGGTGCCCAGCGTATCGCGTTGAATGCTAAGCTCGACAATTTGCTCCCACTCATGTGGGCAGCTGTCCACCAACTGTTGGTATTGACTCTGATACCACACCAACACAGTAGAAAGTATTCCTCCTCCCAACGCCTACCTGGTGACCCAGAGTGAGTTTATTGATCTTTCCAACCATCTTGTCGCGTTTCTTAACCTCCTTCCCCAACAGCTTCGTCTGCATATACTCCACCTCATCCTGTAGCCTCTGGACTTCCTCGTGCAACGACAGAGTACTCTTCAGTGTCGACGAGTCCCTCACTTGCCGATACCTGCATAATCGTCACAACCAACCGTAATCGTTCGTTCACCGTTTATTCGAAAAGTGGGTAATAAATTCCGAATTAAATATGACCTCTTCTCTGACGGCACATATCCGAAGACCGCATCTTCTTCCAGTTTCGACATCATGTCCTGTACCTCCCTCTCCCCAGTCGGAAATCCACTCACGAGCGGCTTGCCCTCCTTCAAGCTCTCCTGTGCTTCAGCAGCCTGAACATAATCTCCGTCACGCGCCACGAAATTGCCCCCACAAACTCACCACCGCCTTGCGAGCCCAAGCAATCTCCTTAGCGCTGAACTCCTGTCCAGACCTCCGCAGCACATCCCGATTCGGGTTGGTAGTAGGCGGCCGGATGCCCTTCCCAGGGTACTTCTTCTCATCACGATACAATAACGCCACATATTCCGCATCCAACTCATCTCTAACCCTCGCCAGCATGTCGGCCGTTATCTCCTCAGCATCTCCAAGATCTCCCTTCACCATCTGAACCACACAGGAAAACCATTGCAATTTCCAAGCGCAATAATACCCTTTTTCTTAACTCTACCACGCGTTCATCATAACAAACTAGAGTAGAATTACAAATAAGCGACTGATATTCATAAGCCTATCGCCACGTTATTATTAGTTATTAATATCGTCATTTCCTCACATCCAAGATTCGAAAAGGTCATTTTCACCACCGTATACAGATCTCGCCCTCTCCAGTATAGTAGCCCGTATATTAGTACATCATCACTCCTCGTAATCATGTCCACCGTCGTTGGTACCACAACGTTTCGAGGCAACTTCTGCTGCAATGCCGGACACTTCTTTATCTCCTCCTCCTTCTCCCTTTCCAATGCCTCTCGCTTCCTTCTAGCATCCAAATCCCCCGCATCTGCTACTTCCGGGACGAAATTTCGACCTAATACCAATTATAACATAAGACACGAAATGATCGGCAACTACAACGCACCATAAGAAGGCCGAACCACACCCTCCTCGTCCTTCTCCAAATCCATCCCTTCAGGCAAACTCGCGGTCACTTCCATCTCAGGCTCAGGTAACGCCTAAACAAACCCTCCACCTCGAGTCACATACCACTCCACACCCACTTTCAACAGCTCATCCACAGTACTCCTCTCCTTCTTCTCCCCCCGCCTACGGCTTCCCTCAAGCTCCACTCCACTAGGGGTAGCGCGACCTCCTAAGGGAGTCTGTTGGAGCTTCGATTCTCTCACACTATTCAGTCGATCAGCCAGGAGGTTTGGAGTCGCCACATTCCCCATATTTGGCGTAAGACCCTCAAACTTCGAGCCCGGCATCATCTGTGGGTTCTCCTCCCCCTCCAACGGCGTCATCATAGAGTTCCTCATCACCGCATTCCTCGCTTCCTCAAATACAACATCCGTCCCCCCTCCAGCCTTCTCCCCAGCAGGGGTCTCCACCACTGACTGCATCATCGCGATGTCCGCAGAGTTCGCCACCAGACCATCAGTAACCTCTCCGCTACCACTTCCCGTACCGCCTACCGTGCCAGCCCGAACAATGTCCATTAGTTGCGTATCGGAAAGCTGTGGCGCCGGCAGCGACAGACTTGAGACATTCCTCACTGTAGCCGCATCGTTGAGATCGTTAGCCATCTCTAACGCCTTAGGCAACTGTCTCTCCTTAATCCTCTTGATCTTCTTCTCATCATCCTAACAACAAACGTCCTCACCACCAAACCGACGAAATATTCAATTATACTATGAAAAGACTTGTAAGGTAACTCACCCTTTTATTCCTCATCTCCTCCTGCTTCCTCGTCCTCATATCCAGCTGGGATAGCGTCATACCACGAAACTAAACCACGAGACGCTATAACCATCGCCCTACTCGAACTAAGCAGTGCCCTACATCAAAATTTGGTTTAGGGGTTTCCTCAGGACCAGGACTGAGATGACAAGATGAACTGAATTGATACTCGTTGCCTTTCGACCTACATATGATCGCCGAGCATGGGAACCGTCTCGAAGGGGATTTCCTGACCGTAGTCAATACCAAACTTCCTCTTACGATAACGGGCTGAAGACAGAACCAGGATACTAAGCAGTGTTGGAAGAATATACGTTCACTTTCTTCAACTGAGCTCGGGAGTTTCCTTACTTATTATAGGAGTTTACATACAAATTCGGTAGAGATCCACAGTTATCGATGAGAACTTGACAAAATTTCCTCAAATTTCTATTTTGTCACCAAGCGATGATTGACCGGGATGCTGAGCAGTAGAAATGATCCACCCATTCCTACAGACTCTAATGCCAGCAGCTTGCATCTCCCTTCTCTTCTGTATCTTAGCCAACCTTCTAGTATCATCCATAGCCTTCTCTCTCGCCTTTCGCTTCGCCTTCTTTCCCCTAACATTCGCAAGCCTTGCTCGTGCCTCCTGTAACATCTCCTTCTCATCGTCGTCCATATCGATCGGGTCCGCCTTAGCTGGTCGGATCTCCGGATTCGGGTCTATCTCGCCAGGCCGGAGCTTCCTGGGGTCATTTTCATCATCTTCATCCCGTCCTTGTGCGCGGTCCAAAAGCCTCTCATAATGCTCCAGGCACTGATGAGCAGTTCGACCAACAGTCTGCGCTATGGTTCGCCATTGACCAGGGAATATCTTGGGCAGATGCAGCAGACGTGCCTCCTCATCTCGAGACCATTCCGTCTCTCTCACCGACGGATCAAGCCATTCATACCAGCGAG